TATCAATACTAGCATGCATATTTATATCATACTCAGCATATCAACAATATCAGGTTATCCAACCTATGGAGCAGTCTTGGTGCCTTCGACCCATAAGTATAGTTAGGAAAATTCACCTCGCACTGCCGAATCATGCAGACGATCCCTGGCTTCTGGCTGATAGGTCCACGAACCGCCAATATCAAGACAACACCCCATCAACAGCCGATCCCATGAATAATCTCTTACTGTTGATACGCTAAAATCCACGCGCTATCAGATACCACAATGATAACCCATCAGCACCTAGCCCCAGACTCACACTATGAGTCCAAATTAGGGTAAAATACCTTTTTACCCTTTCTCGAGCTTGGCCCAAAGCCAAGGCCCAAACTAGATGACCAAAGGCCCAAAATCCAAAAATAAACATCTAAGGCCCAAATATGGCCCAATTTTCCAAATTGGGCCCAATTCCTTTCGTGGGCCTTTACCTAAGAAATTCCAACAAGTCACAACAGTCCAACCATAAAATCCAGATGGCCCAACATGGCCCAACACAACCAAGCCCAAAACCGAAGCCCAAAATGAAAGGTCCCAAGTCTGCCGAGTACGCAGGGCGTACTCAGCTTGTACGCTCAGCGTACATCATGGAAGGCTTGTACGCGCGGTGTACACACTTGTACGCCCAGCGTACTCACCAATCATGGCCATCTTTCCAAATTTATCACTTAATCCATTAAGACTTGGATCCAAAATCATATCTGACTTCCCCACGGAGGTTAATCACATAAAGTTGCATACTTTATGTGCATGCATGGCTAAATGGGACTCTAGAGCTCAAAAGAGCTTAATACTTGACTTAATACATGCATGGAACCAAAACCACCATAAAGTTTGCACCTTTATGCCCAAGGAACCCATGATATATCTAGATCTAAAATTTCAAGCTTCAAAAACGACTTTAACTCCCAATCATCAACCAAAAGGGTCAAAATGACCAAAAATGAACCAAGAAGAAGATCCATGAAACCAAAAGGAAAGGTTTGGACTTTATACCTCCCAAGCTACCAAAAGGAGATGCAAATGCTGGATCTCAAAGCTTTCCTTCAAATAATAAGTATTCAAGCTTCTCCTTCTTCTTCTAGATCCACAAATGAACACCAAATTCTCACCAAAGGCTCAAACACCCAACAATGGAGGCTAAGACTTGTTTTTAGGGTTTTTGGGGCTTTAGAGACTGATAAGGAGTCCAACCCTAAGGAATAAGGATGTTTAAATAGGGTACACATGATCAAAATGTAGGGTCAAAGAACCCCTCGTACGCCTAACGTACTCCTCGTACGCCCAGGTACGAGACCGAGGTTTGCGATCCTTCCTTCTGGGTACGCTAAGCGTACACCAATGTACGCCCATTGTACTACCCTTTGCTCTAGTACGCCGTACGTACTTCCTATGTACGCCCCTCGTACTAGGGTTTCTTCTTACACCCTTCAAACTTCGAAGGCCATAACTTCTTCGTTATAAATTCAATTTCGACGATCCTTATATCCATGAAAAGGTCACAAGAAGCTCTACACTTTAATCAAGTCATACTTTCCTTACAAATTCCTGAACAAACATCCCATTCCCATAAGAGCCCGAGCTGACATATTACCAAAATACCCTTTGGCTCCAAAACACAACCGAACACCCGGATCATCTAAATTACCTCACCTGCACCTAAAAGGAAACGATTCGGGACAGTGCGTTACTGTTATGATTTTTATACGAACTTTAACAGCCTAAGCCCGTTAAAAATATAACTTTAAAAATAAACTCAAAATTAGCCGACAGAGTCTAAATGAAAGTTCTAGATCTCGTTGATAGCTACGCGTGGATATAAAATGTCAAAAACAGAGTTTGTATGAAGAAGTTACAAATTTTTTAAGTTTCACGAGTGCACCGCGCGCACCTTCTAGAAGCTGCCACGCAACACCAACCAATGCCCGACATGTGTCGCGTTTTGAGAGGAGCTCTTGCCGACCAAGGTTGTGCACGGCTCGGACTTGGTCTCTGTCTGGCATGTATACCATTTTCTCAGCCTATAAATACCTTGTAGCTCCTATTATTTTCCCCACACACCTTAAACTCTCTATCTCTCTCTCTCCCTCTCTCTCTCTCTCTCTCTCTTCTCTTTCTCTCTCTCTCTCTCTCTCTCTCTCTCTCTCTCTCTCTCTCTCTCGAAAATTATCTGCAATTGGCTCATGAAATCTTAGTGTTTAGGATATTTTAGAGAAGCCCTGAGGCCATGAGCTCTACATCTTGTAGCCATCAAGTCGGAGTTTTGTTAGTGCAATTTTTGAACTTTTGTCTAGGAAACCTTTGTAAGTTAAACGACACTCTTTTATTTTCAGTGTAACTTATATTTATAGTCATAAGTCGTTATTATGAACCTATAAATAAGATCTATCAGTAATTCCATGTCAAAATGTTAATTGATCTACTTATATGAGAGGTGTCTAAAAGGTCACGTTGGCTTGGTTGTTGGATTTCAGAAAGGCTATTATGTCGAAATGATCTTGCCTCCCAACTGTCCTGGCTTGCTGATCCTTACTTGATAGAACTCTTAGTGTTCATTGGGATTTTTTAGGAATCTATACTATCATAAGTCATAAGAAATAATAAACTAAGACTTAGAAATATTCATACCTAGATCACGTCAAAGGAAAAGATAAAGTACCAAGGCGAAGTTCTGCCCAAATTCTGAGGCTTCGACTTTAATCAAGTGAGTGCATAATTACTCCCATCTTACACATAGATATGAAGTATTTAGATAATTGAATGCTATATGTGCTTATGTGCAAAGATGTTCTGTTTTAGATGAAACATTATAAGGATAACTTTTATATGATATATACCGTATATGTATTTTATAAATGTAATACATTTGGTATCGAAGGGTAATGAAAGATGCCATATTATGATGAAAGATAATATGTCATAGTATAATGAAAGATGTAGGTAATGATAGGATGTCGCGATGTAGAATTGGTACTAGTGTACTAATGATGTAGGAATGATACTAAGGTATCAATGATGTAGTCATCTAACAGAGTATAAGTGATGACCTACGAACTATTTGAAGACAGTCTCATAGAACACATGTAGGTTTATAACCTGTAGGTGATGGACTTCGTGCCCATTTGATGTACTCTACCCTAATGACACGTATTGAGGAGAAATCCCTGTAGCAGTACTGTCAGCAACGATCATTAAGATGATCCTTAGGACATATCCTTAGGAATGAAAATAGAAAGAAAACCTACCGATAGGTATTGCGGAGAAATCCATATAACAATACTTTTAGCAACGATGGCTATGATAACCCTTAATATAAAACCTTAAGGAAGAATAAAGAAGAAAATGGGGATAGGTAATTGGGTTAATTGTTTGATAATTAAACATATTAACTATATTATTGTGTGTTGAAAACCCTATGTAGTCACCAGGTTTTCCAACAAGACTCACTCAGCTTCTTTGTATCACAGGTAGCGGTACAAAAGTGCATGCCTGATGAGAGATTCAAGGAGATGTAGATTGTTAGTCTAAGATATTAAAAGGCCCATTTATGCCTATGTTTTGTATTAGTTATGACATCCAATATTTGTATAAATCAATGAAAAACATTTCTTCATAAATACTTTTATGGGACCAAATTCCGCATTTATAAATAAACTTTGTTTCAAATAAGCATAAATAAAAAAAATTAAAATGGCTGTAAAAAATGGGGAAGTCACATTTGGTATCAGAGCATTAGTTTAAAGGAACTAGGAATATTTGAGGATTTCTAGACTTAAACATAGAATGCTAAGTGATGATTGTATTAATTTATGTGGTACACCTGAATTGACACAAGCACTAGCTTACCTTAGGATAAGATGCCTGATTTTCTCTTATGTGCTAAATGATTTATAGCCTAAATTGCTATTACTTGATTAAATTTAAGGTCTATTGCCAACCTAGAATTAGGAAATTTTATGTGTTCAAGTTTCTAAACGTTTAATTACGGTATTAGAACTGGCATATAACTTTTCTGAGTGATAAGGAGAATCATACGTCTAAACCTTCCCTATCTTTATTCTCATCTCGGTACATTGAACGCCTGTTTCGGTGTACAAAACGTCATGGTGAAGACACAAAGCCGATTAGGAAACGATAATGGAAACCGTCAGCCTGAGCTTCGAGGGATCGAACGTGCACCTGAAGTGGTATTGATAGCTGAACTAGTTATGATGGCGATGATTAGGGCTCTGTTAGCCGAAAAGAGAGAAGAAAGAAGACAACTCATTCGAGAAAATGGAAGATAGCCTACTGTGGCTTTCATTCAGCCGTAGCTTAATGAGGAGCAATCTGACGAAGGAAGTTACAGTAGGACAGTGATTCGTATGGAACCCCAATTTGTTAGGAGGAATAACCCAGAAATGGAAATTAAAAGGGATAGATGCAATTACAAAGACTTCATGGCTGCTAAATCGTCGAGTCTATCCGGGAGCCCGACACCAGTTGGGATAGGAATGGTATTAGGGTACCAACGATGTAGTCATCTAACAGAGTATACGTGATGACCACTGAACTATTTGAATACAGTCACATGGAACACATGCAAGTTTATGACCTATACGTGATGGAATTCGTGCCCATTTGATGTATTCTACCCTACTGACACGTATTGCGGAGAAATCCATGTAGCAATACTGTCAGAAATGATGATTAAGATGATCCTTAGGACAGATCCTTAGGAATGAAAATAGAAAGAAAACCTACGGATAGGTATTGTGTAACATCCCAAAATTTGAGGCCAAAAAATTTCGTTTTTAATTAAGTGGTTTATAAATCAAGTTTATCAAAACATTGCCAAGATCATGTCAATACATAAAACCATAATATCATGTCTCAAACCAAATCATCTGAAGTAACGAAATATCAGAGTACAATCCCAGAAAACACTAAGCGGAAATCATGTGTGCATGTGTGATGCGCTGCTATACCGCCGGCTCCTTCCCCTTGGACGAAGAGGTACCTGAAACCAAAACCGAAACTGTAAGCACAAAGCTTAGTGAGTTCCCCCATCATACCACATACCATACAATAACATAGCATACATACTACCGGGCAATTCTGGGGCGCCCGTCCTACCCATGTCAAGCCATTCTAGGGTGCTGACCTACCCATGTCAAGCCATTCTGGGGTGCTGACCTACCCATGTCAAGCTATTCTGGGATGCTGACCTACCCATGTCAAGCCATTCTAGGATGCCGACCTACCCTCCGGTCTATCTCAACCGAACACGGGGACTATTTCACCCCTACCACTAACACATAATATCATATCATAATCATGTTGTTAGACATATATGGGGTGTCCGACCTACCCATTGGTCCTAGCGACGGAATCGGGGCCTAGTCCCCTTCTACTGATACTATCTAACATCGCATAGCAACTATCAAACTAGCATACTCACATATCTAGCAATCTAGCATACTCACATATCCAACAATAACAGACAAGACAATTATCACAAAGATAATCGTCCCAACTGACAATTACTAGTGGGCCGGCCTTGGTGCCTTAGACCTACTTCTACTGGAAGGTAACTCACCTCGAGGTCGTGTAGTGTCTGAACTTTCCTCGGCGTGAAGGTCGGCTCTCCTCGACTCCTCAATCCCACACGACAACCTTCAAGTCATCAAACCGAACATACAACCCAACCAGGGTCAATACCAAAACCAGGCAAAGTCAACATTGGTCAAAGTCAACACCCATTTGACCTGACTCGCCAAGTTGGTCTACCAACTTGTCGAGTCCATACTCCACTAACCCGATCCAACCCCGACACCACTCGTCGAGTCTAGCGAGAACTCGACAGGTTCTCCTTCATTCAAACCATCGGGACCATCTTCATCCGACTCGCCGAGTTCGTTCATGAACTCGTCGATTTTATCTTCATCCATAAGAAGATGTTCAGTCTATGACTCACCGACCTCCTCTCGAACTCGCCGAGTTCGTCTCCATAAGTTGGGAGATTGCCTTGGACTCGCCGAGTCTGTTCTAGCACTCGTCGAGTCCCATGATTTCTAGGTCCAAGGCAAACCCCTAGCAGGCTGAGCGTTCCTTCCACTCAACCAAAACCATTTCCAGAAGACATTTTCGGGGAAAAAGCGTCTCGACTCGCCGAGTCACCCAAGTGACTCGCCGAGTCCCTCCTTGTCCATTACTATAAAGTCGATTTTAGTGGAATTTAATGCATCCAAATCATAGATCTGACATCCTAGGGTCCCTTTTATACGTAAAGTCTGAAGCTTGGTGCACATGCATGGGATCTTTGGCTCAAGAAGCCATAAAAGATGGCCTACAAGATGCATGGGGTGTTTATGGCAACAAAGTTGGCATCTTTATGCCATAAAGACCCCCAATAGCCCCAGATCTGAAGTCATAACTTCATATTACACTTCATAACCCGAAAATGGCTTAGAAATCCCTAAATATACCAAGATCCAAGCCCTAAAGATGATTATTTACATGGAAGATCAAGATAGGAGCTTTTTACCTTAAATGAGCTGGAAATGGAACACAATCTCTGGATATCCAAGCTCCCACTTGAACTCCCAAGCTCCTTTCCTCTTCTCAAGCTTCAATAACCACCAAAATGCACAAAATGACCTTAGAACACTCAAACAAGGCTAGGGTTTCGAGTTAGGGTTTGCTCTGGACGATGGGGGCTGAGTTGAGGGGTTATAATGTGTTTAAATAGGGTGCAAACCCTCAATTTAGGGTTTCACTCAAACAGCGTCTACTCGCCGAGTCGGTCTCCCGACTCGTCAAGTAGACTACTTAAACTTCCCACGGATCACGACTCTACTCGACGAGTTGGACCTCCAACTCGTCGAGTCCCAGAGAAAACATAATAAATGCTTGAATTAACTTCGTACCAGGAATCGGGTGTTACATATTGCAGAGAAATCCCTACAACACTACTATGAGAAACGATAACTATGATGACCCTTAAGATAAAACCTTAGGGAATAATAAAGAAGAAAATGGGGGTGGGTAATCGGGTTAATTGTTTAATAATTAAACATATTAACTATATTATTATGAGTTGAAAACCCTATGTACTCACCAAGTTTCCCAACTTAACCCACTCAGCTTCTTTGTATCACAGGTAGCGGTACAAAGGTGCATGCATGATGAGAGATTCAAGGAGATGTCGACTGTTAGTCTAAGATATTATAAGGTTTGTTTATGATTATGTTTTGTATCAGTTATGACATCCCAAGATTTTTATAAATCAATGAAAAACATTTCTTCATAAATACTTTTACGGAACCAAAATCTGCATTTATAAATAAACTATGTTTTAAATAAGCATAAATAAAAAAATTTAAAATGACCATAAAAATGGGGACGTCACAAGCTGATCCCAAGATCAGCACCCTAGCTTTGGTTCCTTTGGTCACCATAATATCAGAATCTCCTCTTCTGATGTGATTTGCAACTGAAAAAAAAAACAATAGTTTATAGTCGCCCAAGCTGTAGAAATTGAGTAATTTGGTCCCATTAAACTCGTATCCATAGCCAACAATGTTGATCCCATGTTGCTGATGGATTATGGAATGTAAAACGGACATAATTTCTTGAATCCATTTTGCATAAGCGCTTCCAATGCACTTGTAAATGCCATTGTGCCACTCATTCCCAATCTGACAATAACTCTGATTCACGATCTATCCATTTATTACAATTACAAACAGTTGAAACATCATTTTGATGTTATTCGACTATAAGCAGGAGAAAACTTTGAGAATACGGTTGAAAACAAGTTAAGACTCATGATTTTAAGGAATCTGGGCTGAGGTTGGCATCCTTGAGAGCTTTTTTTCCTGCGACCAAATAATACCTCCAACAGTCATCAAGGCAACGATCTTTTTCCTCGTCGATGTAGCGTACAGAGGAGAAATCACAAATTTTATTGGCAAAACGAATGGGAAAGGTGGACGCATCGAATTTGTCATTTAGAGTGATTCCATTTTGACCCTATAGGAGTTTGTCATAGTATGTGTCGACATTGTTTCCAAAAACAGAAACAACGCCTAACGATGATGACAACCCTCTTCTTCATATCCTTTTCTCGTTTGGGAGTCGAAGCCATGTCCTTCATTACTCAAGATTTCGAAGTAAACCATCTGAACTTGAACCTAGATAAAATAGAAAAGTGGTTGGATCCGGTGGTCCTATGCATATTGAATTGAAATAATGTTCCTCTATTGTCGGTGGATTCTTTTCTCCTTAAAAGCAAACTGAAAGAACAAGTGGTGGCAATGATCTCCATTCTTCCAGAATCTTACTCTTTCTAACATTTTTGCGGTTTTAAATTTATTGAATCATTAATGGTTATGGTGGACATTAATGGTTATGGTGGATAGATATAAAGAAAGAAAGAGGGGAAGACAATCGAAGAAAGGGGTTGTTATTCAACACGCCATATAAAGAGGGCTACCATCTAACGTCAGTCGTCCTATTCCTCGTAATCAAATTAGTTAAAAGAAAATTTATTTTTTATTTTCTAATACATTGCTATACTATATTATTATTGTTGTTGTTAATATCATACTTATGACAACTTATATAATAAGAAAAATAAATTAAATGTTTGATCCCTCTCCCTAACGTCCATCTCTCCACAAGACTACTTGGTATACCACCCATGCCAAGGCATGAGGATAACATGGTAGGATGTGTGGTTGTGTAGGGTCGTATAAGGCATAGTTGGTCCAAACATTTTAGAGGGTCTGTGATATTTTTTTAACTTTAAGCCCTGAAACAAAAATATACTAATAACATAATACTACAAACCATGGATCAAACCATAATACTGAAACACCAAGATAATAAAAAAAAAACCATAGATCAAACATTTTGACGTCTCGTCTTCTTAATGCGTAACATTGACGATGAACAAGAACTAGTATGTGATAATCTTCCTCAACAAATACCTTTAGCATTCTTCCAAACAAATTTTGATGATGTGGATCAAAGATTATGTAAATATTGGTATGTCTTTGTATGTTGGTAACCATCTACTATCTATACCATGTTGGACTGGTTTTAAACTCGACAATCGAAACTCACTAGGAATAGTGACAATCAAGGAGTAAGTAAGGAAATGAAAATTTTGGTGGTTTGTACATGTACATATGAGACAACCCATTGGTGTGCTTAGGAGAGTGGAGACAAACATTGTATCTGATAAGAGTAGGTGATGATGCCCACAAAAAAAGCGCATAGATAGCATAATTTTAGACCTTTAAGAGTTAGGTCTTTGTGAGGTCGTAACCTTAAGAGGGTAGTTACGTAGGATATGAGTATACCTTTAAGTTTAACCATTTTTGGTACTTGTAGTCGTAAGAACCAAAAAATTAGAAATATTTGACTTTGGGTGAATAATTGACTAAAAGGGCAATTTGGTCGTTTAGAGGAATTTCATGAATTGAGAAGATGTAACTTCATGAAATTATTCAAGATAAGTCTACGTCACTTTTATAAGATGAGATAAATGATTTTAAGAGAAGAAATGCAAGAGATAGTGCATTTAGGCCATAAAGGGTAAAATGGGAATATTATGCTTTTTGGGCTAAGTTAGTGACTTAATAGATTAAGACCTATGAGTAGTTAGTCCAAAGTGACTTAATGGAGTTGTAGAACTCATCCCCAAATTCATGTGGATATAAAGATCATTGAAAACGAGTTTAAACTGAAGAAGTTAAGAGTGTTAGAAATTAGAAGAAAAATTGTCCCAAAGTTGGAATGGAATCAGCTACGGAGCTGCTGAAATGCAGGCACTGTGGCGCAGTAAGGACCTTGCCATGGTGCGATGGGTGGAACGGTAAAATGGATGAAAGTCTCGTCGTTGGTAAAGAGCAATGTACTTTGCACCGCGGCGTGGTAATATGGTGTATAGAGGCGTGGTGGTGAAAGTAGGATGCCATATAAGAAAGGCACCATGGCTCAGTTAGAAGGAGACTGCAACCTAATTAGGCGCACCATAACGTGGTAGGAAGGCTGCTGCGGCGAGGTTTTTTAGACTAGGAAACAGGTTTAAAATTGTTAAGGTTTTAAACCTACAAGAGAAAGGCACCACACTCGGTTAGAGGGAGACCGGATCCAAGTTAGGCGCACCACGGCGCAGTAGGCAGGTTTTCGTGGTGTGGTTTTACAGATCAGGAAACAGGTTTAAACTCGTTTCAGGGTTCATTCTCGAACCATTTCTCCCCAAATTTATTGGAGAGATAAAGAATGGCGATTTTGAACCCAAGAAGGAGACAATATGAGCTAGAGATGGATGATTGAAAGGATTAACATCCTTTCCCTCTTAAGGTAACGATTTCTTGATTTTATGAAGCTTTGAGCTTCAATTGTGAAAATTTTAGTTTGAATAGATTGCTTGAGATAATTAGTCTATAACTCAATTAGTACATTATTGAGAGTGTTTAGAAGCTTTAAACAAGCTTTGTATGTGGTTTCCAAGGCGAAATCCATATATGTATAAGTTAGGGTTTCAAACCCTTACTAGTGAGGAAGATGAATTGATGCAATAGAGCTTAGAGTGTAATAGATTATCTAGTTTAGGATGCTTAATTCATTGGAGTATATAATATTTTGAGATAGAAAATGAGATGCTAAACTTAAGATCAGTTAAGTGATCATTTTGGTATGGAGAGTGATTAAGGCCTTAATATGCTAAGACAAGTTCTAAGGAGCTTGATATGTTGTATAAATAGGCCTTGAGAAAAGAAGATGGATCAAGTGAATCAATTGAAGATTGGAAGTTGAGGGTAGTTAGTCTTCACTAACTAACAAGGTGATTTATAACTCCCTCTTACTAGATTATGATTATATGTTTTATAATCTTATAAATGTATGGTTAAATGTAAATGGTATAATATTAAATATCTATAAGATATTAGATGAAAGAAAGAATGTGATTATATGAAATATAACCTTATGGATGAGTATGTATGCATGATTAGATATTAGTGGTTTTGTCTTAAATACCCACAACATATTAGATGAAGATAGAGTATGGATTTATGACTAGATGCTAGTGGGGATTGTGTTAAATACCTAAATGCTAGTAGATAAATATTTAAATGAAATAATTAATGAATTAAGTACTAGATTGATAGTAGGAGATTTCTTAAGAAAATGACAAGATAGAATGTTATGTAGCAAGTGATATGTAAGACTATAGGAGAACCACAGCATTTACATGAAATATTATGAGAATGTAGAAAGATGATTCCTTCAGGAATGAGACTATGATTCCTTCAAAAATAATATTATGATTCCTTCGGGAATGAGATTACGATTCCTATGGGAATGAGATTATGATTCCTTCAGGAATGTAGATAGATGATTCATGTGGGAATAAGAATATTTGTTGTTAGAAAAGGGTGAGAAAGAGGTTCCATGAATGGAAAAAAAGTAAGAGAGTTCTTTTAAAGATCCTTAATATATAATCCATGAGGGATTAAGTGTAGAGGATCCGTAAGGGATCATTGTAATCCACCAAGGATTCAAGAAAAGAAGATGGCCAAAGAATCCACAAGGGGTCAAAGTGAGAGGACTAAGTCCGGATGAGTGTACACCGGTAAGGTCAAAGTATGTTGTCCCCTTTATGCTAGATGAAGTTATCATATGTGATTAGACCAGTTGGGTCTAAATGAGAATAAAATGGAAAAGCATGGGAAGATGAGAATAGAGATGGGAAAAGAGAGATAAGAAGGTATGCCATGGAACGAGAAGAGGGCACTGTATGAGATAGCAGAGTATGAGAAGTGGTGTAGATATAGTAGAAGAAGGGTATAAGATGAGATGAAGATAGAGTAAGGGCATGAAAAGAGGTAAAGATAGAGTATGGGAATAGAATAATATAAAGGTAAAGTATGTGAAGAAGAAAAGAAAAGAATGACGAAGTATGATAAGAAAGAAAGTAGACGAGTAGAGTATGATGACATGAAAATAGATTATGATATAACTCACCGAACTTATGGTCTGACGTTGTAGATTTTTCATGGGTTGCACGTTCATGTAGTAGTCGTTGTATGAGAAGACATAGAAGCACCAAGGACTTAAACTATAAGTGGATTTTATTTTTGGCATTTCTTTAATGCTTTTAGGTTATGATATATGTAACATCCCAATGATGAAGTAATTTCAATTTTAACCTTAATTATGAAAGAATATTGCATTTTGACCCTTGGGTTTGAGAAAGATTGCAAGAATGGCCCGTAGTGGCATTTTGGTAATTTCGGCAAAGGATTAGTACGCTGAGTATACGTTGTGTTCGCTAGACGTACTAGGGCAGACCCTAGTATGTTGGTCATACACGTCGTACGTAGGGCGTACGTGGTTAACCTTTAAACCCTAATTTTTAGGGTTTTGCCCATATATAAGCATCATTGTCTCTCATTTCTCATTCCCTTACCAGCCTCCACTTGAGAAAAATGACCCTCTACCAACCCTAAGTGAGAAGAGTGCATTTTGAGCCCATTTTTGTGCTTTGGTGTAGTTCTTGAAGAATAAGAAGTTGGTGAAAGGAATTGGGGCTTGGGGAGAAGCTTGGATTTGGGATTCTTCACTTGTTAGCTACCTCCAAAAGGTAAAAAGCTCCTTGTTTAATCATCCTATCTTGTAGATCTAGCCATTTCTTCATTTAGGGCACTTTTTGTCCCAAATATGGTGATTATTGAGCATGGCATGCTCTTAACCAAATAATTCGTCCTTTCAGACCTTATGAGGGGTCTTGAGTCATAAAAATGTGGTTTTGATGCTTAGTTTTTCTCCATGCATGTTATAGAAGGTCTTAAGGCATTAAGATGATGAGATTTTGTGTATTAAGCACTTAATGGAAATGCAAAGTCATAAGGTTGGAAACTTTATGACTCTTAGTGGTATTTTGGCCTTGGATCTAAATGTTGGACGTCAGAGCTTAATGAATTAAGCTCTTATTGAG